AAAAAAAAATATGGTTTAATAACAATAATAAAAAAGATATAAAACAAAAGAATTAAAAAATAAAAAAGATGAGATAAAATGGACGTTCCATTAATTCCTCTCCTGTTAAATATTATAATGATGTTGAATGTGCAATGCAAATTTATTTTTATTGTAATTATAAATGTCTATCGTATTTTTTAATACGATCTTATAGATTGTGTAAACTTATATTTCGTTCATGTTTTGGGTCGGGTGTATGTCATGTCTTTGTTTGTTCTTCTGTTTCAGGATTGATTTCATTTTATTGTCATGTCACTAATCGTTACGTTCCCTTTCAGGAACCTAGATCATAGCATTTCCTTCTATCCTAAATTTTCCCTATTTTCTTTTTGATTCCTTCCGGGTGTGCGGTCACGCGTTTGCTCTCATTTGCTGTGAATAAGAGCAGCGGCTTCCACGTGGCCGCATCCCCAGGTGCAAAAGGTATATCTCCTTCTCTCGAAGATGATAACCAGGTATCAATTCAAGCGCAATACATAGCTTCTGAATTGATTCAAGACCGTTTCGCATATGACCTTCACGAGGTTGCACCTGTTTCATACAGAATATGCTACGGATCTCGTTTTGATCCACTAGATTTACCATACGCTGTTTTATCTATCGAATCAAAATTAAATTCTATATTAAAAATCCTTCCAATTAATTATTTACTCGTATTTACTGCTATATTCAAAAAAAGATTATTATGAATTGCGTAGTTTTTTATTTATTTATTAATATCTTGCACAATAAAATACGGAACTACAACATCTATTATTATTTTTTGTTTGTTTTAGGAATACTTAAAACTAATTAATTTACGGAATGGCATCGAATTATACTTCAAATTTGAGGTGTAGTGTAGTAGTAATACATGACTACTTATTACGGCCAGACTTCGGATTCGATCCACTCAATGTAATATGAAACGCGGGTATAAACCCCTGGACTGTTGCTGATGCCGCAAGCTTTCCCAAATGAGGTAATCCCGAAAATGGTGTGACCCCTCTCGTAGTCGAGGTTCCGCCGTTGCAGAGGTCCACCGGAATCGCCCTGCAATTGTTCATCATGGTAACATGTTAAGATGTTTTGCGTTGCTCACCTGGCAGGTATCTTTCTTGGGGGCGCCGGCGCAAATCTGCCTGTCCTCGAGGATTCCGTTCGGAAGACGACGCGCGTTTACTTCGAAGGCTTGTCTGCAGGTACCGTAGTCCGTGTAGTTAATCATCACCTTCTGAAGGTGATAGGAGATGGTGCCGCCGAATTTCAGATGGCCCCAACCGGTAGCCGTGAACGTGCTCGGGGTGTCCCTGTCGGTGTTCAAGCAGGCGGGAATGACGTAGTCATTGATGATAACATCCCTGTCCAGTTCGATGAGTGCGATGTCGTTGTACTGGATGGGATGTTTGTATTCTGGATGTTTTATAGTCCTCTTCACGGTGAAGTCTTGAGGCTCTGCTTTATCGTCCGTTTTCTCTAGGTTCAAGTCCCCAAGACGTACGTATTTCACATCGCCCCTAATAACATATATGCCCAGCCCCCCCCCATTCAATTATTGCTTCTCGTTTCGTTTATATTTACTCACAGATCTTTACTTTTCAGACAGTGGCCAGCTGTTAGCACGAATCTCTTGCTGATGAGACTCCCACCACACCCCCAGGTCGGATGCGTTGAATTGTCGCCGTAGCCGAGAACAGCCTGGAGAACGAGAACAAACACAACAACCACCATCCAAACACAATTATTACGTATTCACATCGGATTTTAAGACCATATACCATGTGCGGGAATTCCTGTGCTAAAGAGTCATAACCACCGACGACTGCTGTCGGAGGTGGACCAGAGCCGGGTAGTCGGCCGTAGTTGGTGCTTATGTATATATTGTAGCAGTCTAAAGAGAGAGAGAGAGACAGTAAGAACCCATGCTAATATAAACCCCGAAAATAAGAAAGTTCTTTTTCAAAAATATATATAAAAATACTCGAGTTTTCCAGCTACATTTTTACACCTACCATGTGTGGAAATTCCCGTGTCGTTACGGGGTTTCCACCGATAATCATCTGAGCCCCGTCGCTAATAACCGGTCCGTAATACTTTCGACATTCTGCCAAAGAAAGAAAACAATTTCGACCAACTTACAAAATGCAATTCTCAATTTTTTCCGTTACGTATCCCCCCCGACTAGATTTTTGTTGATTGTTGTTCGTTTCAAGTTCAACTTACTTTCATTGCTCTTTTTTCCAGCGTTGCTGATAGTGGCCAAAACCGGAGGAGCTTCGCAGCAGACGATAGGTGTCTCTCCTTTATAGCCGCAGATCGGCGCCTGCTGGTTGATCTTCAGCAGCTCCAAAGCGCTCGGACAGTCCTTCACGGGCATGCAACGACCGCCCGATCCATCCTTCAGTTTGCAAGCTACAATCGAATCATTCGTTTAAATGATTGTATTGAAATGATAATAGCATGTCTTACATCTTTGCGCTCGGACGTCGTGGACGAGCGCGAAGCTCAAAAATGCGAGGATCCACTTCTTCGACATGCTTCCCTTGGAGCAGGTAGCTAAGAACTGGCTTTTCGCGCGTGGTCTCAACTCACTGAGAAATTCGCACATCACATTGAATACTTTATACACACTCGTACATTCGCGCTCGCTCACTCCACTCACTTTCCATCTTCGTCACTGTGACCATCGTCCTTCCTCAGAAGACACTTCTTGCACTTAATTGCTCAATTAGTTGGTCATGGCAGAGCAAGCATCGCCGAAATTACAAACAAACCGAGAAGCTGGGGGGTAATCATTTATTAGTATATTTACAACTACTCACCTCGGGCCATTGCGCAATTCCCTCGTATTTCTCCTCCTTATCCGACCTCTACTATCCGCCGTGATGCGATTCATTTATGCATCTCCCATTCCATTGTTTATTTCCTGTTTCGAGCCCCCCCGGGGAATTCTCTACGATACATTGTACCCACTTCCTTTCCCCAATTGCAGCAACAACAACAACAAACGTAACAAGAATCGAATGCTCTTGAATTATTTGATTTTTAGCGGAGAGCGCGTGAATATTAGCATATATGTAAAATAATAAGTATTTCTTTGTCTCTCTCTCTCTCCCTCTGTAATTATATATTGACATTAATGCGGATTCAATCTATTTTTAGTTGTTATTAACTTCTTCTGCGCATACTTTACTTGTATTTCGTATCGGTGGCAAAACGCGATTTGTTTTCTTTTTGTGTTCGCGTAATTATCGGGAATTTGTTCGTTTCTTGCGTATTTTCCAAGACCAACTATTTCGCAATATCGAATTGAACTCTACACGTCTTGTCTTGTCTTCTTCAATTTGTATTGCTTTTATTATTATTTTCGTTAATAATTTGCTTTATTTCGTAATGTTTGTAACTCAATCGCATTTATATTCATTGGCTCTTTTTAATCTTTGTTCTTTGAATTTAAATTTTCCCAAATTTTCTTAAAATTAAAGTTCTTTCAACACTAACTAGGAGATATTGATATGTAGTCCTCCAGTTATACTTTCCGTTAAAATTTTCATCAAGTTGCTCAGCATGTTAGCGTATTGGTGGTATTTGTTTTGAAAGTTGTTTGAAATCAATTCGTTTCGTATTTGATTTGAGAATACTTTTTCTTTGAATATTGGTGGACAAATCAATGATAGGAAATATATTAAGTAAGTTAATTATTACTTAAGTGGTGACGACAGTAGAAGAATACTAAATAATCCCGAATATTGAGTTGTAAGAGGTTATAATAGATAGATTCACTCGTTTACATGTATTCTATTTATTTTAAAGATATTTTCAATGAACATGGCTATGTTTGAGGATGGGAGCGATTTCGATAAACTCAAACTTATTTTCGAGGAGATGGAGACAAAACCACCCACCAATGTTTTCCAAGCGGCTGATGTCTGCAGAAAGGTGACAGAGTTAACAGACTCAACAGCTGAGAAAGAAAGGTAAGACAGAAATGTATGCCCATTATGAATGATCACTAAAGCAATATCATTTCAGCAATTTAGATGTGAAATCCAGGACGTATCTTCTGGCCGAAAACTTGCAGAAGTATTCAGAAGCCACCTCGTACATGTCCATTTATGATGACAAGATTAAAGAGCTCCTGGATTCAACGAAGAGCATTAACAATAGTTTCCAGTGGAAAAGCAACTTGCACAATGTTAATGTTAATAAAAGTATTGGAGTGGAATGCGGCCCAAATGACTTTCAAGCTATTTCCGCCAGCTTCAAGAAAGTTTCCAGCAAAAAAGAATTGATAAAACCGAAGGTTGCTGTTGCTAAATGTTTAGGTGGCAAGGTTGGCGTGTTGTGGAAACCTAAAGTTGAAGCGCCGCAGGACAATAGCGTGGGAAATACGTTCAGAACCGCAAGAGAGGAGTTGAATTTGCAGAATGCGAAGAAGTTTTCCGGGATTGTTCCACCTCAGAACAAAATGTTGGGGAAGAGACGTGGAATATCGTCCAAGTTCGTGTCTCCCATGCTTACCAATAATGACAGGTATTAAACGAACGCACACTTGATGAGAGGTATATCTATATATATTGGATAATGTTGTTTAGCGATGATAGCGGGAAGAGTCAGGAATCCCCCTCGTCTACTACCATCGTCGTAGATGAACGATTGAAGAATATCGATCCGAAGATGGTGGAGTTGATCAGATCGGAAATCATGGATAGCGGTACGGTCATCGGCTGGGACGACATAGCAGGTTTGGAGTTTGCGAAAACCGCTATACAGGAGGCCGTCGTTTGGCCGATGCTGCGTCCGGATATCTTCACCGGCTTGCGAAGGCCTCCGAAGGGAATCCTGCTGTTCGGTCCACCGGGAACCGGGAAAACGTTGATCGGAAAGTGCGTGGCATCGCAGAGCAAATCGACATTCTTCAGTATCAGCGCTTCTTCGCTGACATCCAAATGGATCGGGGATGGCGAGAAGATGGTCAGGGCGCTTTTCGCCGTCGCCAGATGCCATTTACCTGCGGTAATGCACCGATAGTTGTTCTTTATTAGCAATTAATTAAAATTTTCAGGTGATTTTCATCGATGAAATCGATTCGTTGCTCTCCCAACGCAGCGAGACCGAGCACGAGAGTTCGCGAAGATTGAAAACAGAGTTTTTGGTGCAGCTGGATGGAGCTACAACGAACAGCGACGAAAGATTACTGGTGATCGGTGCAACAAATAGACCACAGGAATTGGACGAGGCAGCGCGCAGAAGGCTGGTCAAGAGGTTGTACATTCCGTTGCCCGAGTTGGAGGCTAGACTGCAGTTGGTGCAACGATTGATGTTCACGGAAAATCATTCGTTGACAGACGAAAACATGAAGGAAATAGCAGCTCTTTCGAGAGGATACTCTGGCGCGGACATGCTCAATCTTTGCTCTGATGCGAGCTTGGGGCCAATAAGGTCCATCAATTTATCTCAGATAGAAAACATTCAAGCTTCCGAGGTGCGTGCATGCTGCATAAGACTTTTGCATACAGTATATAACTATGATTTTAAACTTTGTAGGTGAGGCCTGTGAGTATGCTGGACTTTAGGAAGTCTTTAACTCGCGTCAAGTCGAGCGTGTCTTCCAGAGATTTGGATTTGTTCGTGGAATGGGATAAGACCTACGGGTCTGGATGTCCCTAATTGTAGTAGGGTCTTATCGTCGCCACCAGTTGCTCCTTACTGTTCCCAGCGTAAGTCGCCAACTTTTTCTTGCGCCTCTTCTTCGCAGCGTGTTTTTTGTTGCATCTGGGGAAAAGTAACGTCCACAGAAAGTCGACGGTGAAGTAGCATATCTCGGTGGCGCTGATGAAGCTGACCCCAAGGAACAGAGCCAACGTTCCACCGATCGAAACTGCATTTAATTATATCATTATTTATTCTCTCTGTTCTTATTTTATAAACTTTCGATTTACCGACTAAATCTTCGAAACCGAACAAGACGTCTCTGTGGTACTTTGTTGTAGGCGGTAGCAAACCCCAACGAAACGTAATCCTTTGATCGAAATATCCATACTCCCTAATAACGTGAATGTTTAGATAATTCTAATTCGTTTGCGTTTCAATGATGTTAGATAATACCAGACTGTAATCTTGGGCACTTGCGGTAAATACGTGATCAAGTCGCAGGGCTGCGGACAGTTGCATCCCAGTTTGATGGGCGGTCCGGTAATCAGTTCAGAGTATTTGGCAACGCACTGCATCCCTTTTAGATCGCACACTTTGCCAGCTATTCAAAAGAAGACGTTTACTTTAATAATAAATACGTGTTCGGTGAGATAAATTTACGTAGGTTGTTGTAAAAGAAAGGCTTGCATCCGCACAATTTCAGCACCAGGCGATATCTGCAGGAGATGTAACAGATGCTGGCGCTGTACGCTGGAATGTCGCTGTTGATGGGCTCGTCGTCGAACCTGCACTGCCTCTGCGAGGGCAACAAGTAACGTAGGTTCACGCTCGCTATCGTCTCCTGCATCCTGTAATTAATCTCCAATTCTTCGCTCTCCTTCACGTGCAGAGGCTGCTCGCTGGTGGCGTGCGCGATGTCGTAGTACGAATGAATGTAAATCTGTAAAAATCATCTCTAACTCGACCTCTTCACTAATAGTAATTATTATTATACTTTTAGGGGTGCCAATGGATCGGAATCGTAACGAGCGTAGCACAGGCCGTTCAAATAATGGCATTTGAGAATTTCATCTTCGTCCGATGGTGATGATGATGATGAGTTGACGCCTTTCACACTGAAACGGTTCAAGTTGCAGCTCAATTATATTCTTTGATCTAATAATTACTTGAACGTAAAGAACTTGTAATATTTGATGTTGACCGAGAAGCAAATGCCCAGCTCGGTGATGACCAACTTCCAATCGGTCTTGGCGTTCGGATCGAATGTCACCAAAGTGCCGGTCAACTCTGGATGCACCTAGGTATGATTATAATATTATTTCTTATGTATTGATTGATTGATTGCTATTTGCTGTATACCCTTGCTGCCAGCTCGATGTAATCTAAATCGTTCAACTGCGGATCGTTGCGGTATCTCGCGAGCACGTGCATGTTGCCGTACGAGATGTTGGCTATGGCCAGGATAAAGTCGCGATAGTAGTCGTACCGGGGATGCGTGTCGTTCAAACCCCATTTTCTAACCGATTAATACAAGAGAATAGAAGGTGAGCGAGTATGTATGTGTTATTGCTTACTCCTCTATGTACTCGTCTATGAGAATGTCGTCCGCCTTGTGGATGAAGCAAGCTGTCGCAGATGGGAAAGGATTGAACCAATTCCTAAAGTCCTTCTGCAGTGAAACGACCGTCGGGTTTGCGTAGTAACGGGAAACGTTTTTCAGAGCCACAGCGACGGCGCCCGAAATCGCTGCCACGACGATCAGAACCCAAAACAATCTATGACTCACATTACATTTACACACCTGTACTTGTTCTTAATATTATGAATGTAGTACCTTTCCAACGGGTGTATTCTTGGGGCCGCAATGAGCGGCACCCCGTGAATCGTGGTGTTTTGCGCAAAGTATTTGATTTTCTCTAACGCACGTCTCTTCGTTTCGCCCATATTTCGTGTTCTGTTTCAGACTGCAAATGCGGATTCATTCGCGTCGCATTTAGATCTATTTAGATTAGAATTCAACCGAACGTAATTACTTTTATCGTTGATCTACAAATCGTTATGAGAAATTAACTTTTGTAATAGGTTTCAATTCACGAAATGCCAGTATTATAAGAGTAAATAATAATAATAATGATATTTTATTAAATAAGAACAATCCTCATTTCAGTCTGGCCTTCGTCGTTTCCTTCTGCTCCGTTAGAGCCCTGGACTCGTGCACCAGAACCACGAAGTGTATGCCCTGCTGCTTGGCGGCCCGTACGAATCCGTCGTTGGAGGTGACCGTGACTGCTTGGATGCGATCCCCGAATTTGAATATGATCAACGAACGTTCCTTCACTTTACCACCGATCGGTAAGGACTTGTCGGGCGTGAACTGTACGCTGTTGAAGAACTCGTTGTCTTCGTGATCCTCCGTATCCTCGACGGTCGCATCGTCCGGCAGAACTGTGATGGTTTCGATAAAATCTTCGCCTCTTTTAATCTCGTTCGGTCCACCGACCACGTGCAGAATCTCCCGGAAACTTTCGATGGCCGTCTCGCACGAGTACAGTTTCTTATCTGCAGACAGCAAATAAAATAAGCTCATTGTCTAATTGGAAATTTTCGTTTCAGAATTGTACCTTTGAAGAAAGCATCGAGCAACGTCTTGACCGGTCTCACGCATTCCCATTCCGCTTGCTGATTCAGGACGGGAACATCGAAGACGTACTTCATGCAGCTGCCGTTCGTGACGGAGCTGGTGTAGGCGAGCAGCGTGGAAACGTCCAGATTGACCTTCCTGATTCGAGACGTATTGCCGCTGGACAGCTCTGACGTCGGGTTGATATCGAACTCCAGATTGTCATCCACGTTGTCCAGCCTCTCGCCCTCCACAACTATGCCCATCGATTCCAGTTTCGAGCACAGCTTCGTTCCTATCCCATTGGCGAACACGAATCTGATCTAGAAATCCTATTCGCTCTCTCTCACTATCCTTCCAATTTTCGATTAATCAGGAATCTACGAACCTGCGGCGTCTGGAACAGGCACGGATACAGCTGGGCGCAGTCCAGATACTCCTCGGCCTGATCCAAAATGCTGCGAACGCCGTAACCTGCATTCCCCATGCATATTTGGCTCAAAGATTTCGGATTCCTTGCGACCACTTTGATCCATAGCAGACCCCCATCGCAGATCATGTCCACAACGATCTTGCGATCATCCAAATTGAAAGGTTTATTGACACATTGACAATTCTCTGTGTTTCTCAGCACCCCGACCAATGCAGAGAAATGCGTCAGATTGGAACACTGTAAGTGTTCCTTCTTTATCGAACTGCTCTTGTAAATCTTCAAACACAATTCCAAATTAAATAACAACAATTACAATCGTATATATAAAAATGTATATTTACTTTCTTCAAGAAGTTCAGCTCCTGTTTAATTTTCCTGCTCAACTTTTGCATTCCATCGAGATCGTCGTAACATTTTAACGAATCCAATAAGTTTTCAGCTTCTTCGATTTTCGATAAAGCAGAACCGATTAAATCCTCTTTAATCTCTTGCACCACCGACATCGCTTTGTAATAACTTTTCTTCACTTCACTTCTTTTACTTTTTAACCTAATTGCATTAATCCAATTTCCATTTGAGCATCTCTGTATACAGAGTTGCCTAACCTATTCCCGGTTCCTCCAGATGTTGACTTTCCTTGTACACGTGACAAAATCTTTCATTTGTATTCGAAACGTTCAGCAGAGATGTTGTGTATCGACAATGCTCTCTTCAATATATTTATTTGTAAATACCTGTGGCTGAAAAAAGGTAATTTATTTTGCTTTAATTAATTCGTTCATTATTTTATAAATACCTTTCGTATTTATATTGTGGCTTCTTGCAGATTTTCAATTAATTTTTAACCTTAAAAAAATAAGCGTGGGTTGCGCCATGTTTTTTTTTGTATATCATTTGTTGATATGATGTAACTAGATTTAATTACAATGATGATATAATTTACCAATGGATCCTACAGAAAATTCATAATGTTGATAAATGGAAACTGATTTCCACAATTCCAACGTACATCACTCTAATCATTGGACATTAACTAATTTGCATCTTATTATTTGTTACAGGATTTCATATATGATGGGTTGAATGCAAAATGATTTTAGAAATCATGGAAATTAATAAGGTAATTATTTGCATTGAGAGTTTCAAACTTGTTTTATATTCTATATGATGATATAATTTACCAATGGATCCTACTGAAAATGTTCTCAAATTAACAATGTTGATAATTGGAATCTGAACTTTCCATATTTAAAATTTAATTTCAAGTGGTTTTGTATATTTTTACTAAATATTATTTATTTGTGTTGCAGGAATATCTTTTATTAGCATGAGAGAACAATGGATGTAAATCATGCCAATAATTACACTTGATTTACCCAATCTTAATAAGGTAATAATTTTCATATCTATTTGCAAATTCTAAATAACTAAATGATGATATAATAAACCAATGGATCCTACTGAAATTGTTCTCAAATTCACAATGTTGATAATTGGAATCTGATTTAAACTATAAATTATGTTGTCGTTTGATCCTTACTTGTGATAATTACTAATTATTTTTGTTTTGTTTTCAGAAATCATATTGATTCTAGTTATCCAGGATGCACAGAAAAGGAAACTTAATTGAAGGAATGGAAGAGTAAGGTAATTTCATGCTGCTAATTAATATAAACGTTATAATTGAATTTGAATGATGATATGAATAACCAATGGATCCTACTGAAATTGTTCTCAAATTCATAATGTTGATAATTGGAATCTGACTTGATTACTGTATCATATTCAAACTTCATCAAATGAAAAGTTATCAATACTAATTATTGCTTATTGTTTTTTTGCAGATTCGAAGAATGGTCCAAATCTTGGCTTCATCGTCAGGAGAGAATTAATAAATGAATGAACATCAAGGTAATATTTATATAAATAATTTCAATGTTTGTGCGATTTAATTTTGATGATGATATAATTAACCAATGGATCCTAC